ACTGAGCCTTGGGTAATGTTACGCAACTTTATACTGTAGCAAGCAATTCCTTTCTCATGTCAGTGTCAGAATATTATCTCCTGACCAGTCTGTAAGGGCCAGCAAAGGGGGAAATAACTTATTATCACACCTGAGATTATCTCCCCTGAGCTGAACCTTAGTGTCATAAAGGTTTCATAACACAGACTGAGTGGGGCTCTTTTGAACAGACTAGATCAGGGGAAGTGAGTGGACTGGTAGACATTGTGGCGACAAGAGACTGGAGTTTCACACATGTCAGTGAAATTCTCAGACACAGGTGTTTGCCAATTAAGATGTCCAAACATTGGTAAGGACGTTCACTTTGAGTGACAGGCCCATTGATAGCTAGGTTGATCCACTAGGTACCTCAGAGGCGTGGCTTAGGTCATCTCCTGGAGGGTTGGGTAGAACCTAGTAAAGGGAGGAGTTTAACCTTGCAGACAGATAGTATACTTTGAGCCTCGGGAGTTCACTTCCATTACATCGCAGCCTGCCGGCAAACAAACACAGGTCGACGTAGAGGTAATTTTACGGTCTGATTCTGGTTTGGCGATTGATGGGATGTTGCCAGGTAAGCTTGTACAATTATTTTCAATCTTTATACATAGGTTAGGGAGTTAAGCTTAGTCTATACTACGTTTTCCTAATATGTCTACAGATTCTGCTTGAAATAGTTCTTTGTGAGTATTCAGTATCTCAAGTTAGGGAACTGCTAAACTATTCCTATTTCTTGTATGTTTGTGTCACATGTTTTTCAGTGTATGTTTTCATGTGTATAAAATAAGATGAGAACATTTTATTTGCTTTAATGAAATGTAATTATATTGTTTTCGCGATCAGCCCAAAACATGTGCTTGGACTGTGGAAAATCATGCCCATATGCGCAGAGTTTTAATAGGTCACCATGTGCTCACTGGAAAGACAATATTCCAGACACCATGCACATATAACATGGTTGGAGTTTTCAGCACATAACCTGCTCCACGTGTTCATGTAAAACAATGGTTGGAAGTCTGAGTGAAGACGGACAGCAGACCTAGAAAGTAAACTATCGTGACAGGACATGAGAGGAAAGGCAGGATATGTGACCTCCATGTAAGACCAAAGACCTTCAGACTAGACTGGAGAGATTGTGGAATATGAGGAGGAGTGATGGTATATATTTTGTTATTATATTTTATATTAATTGATACATGTATTCTTAGTGTAAGTCAAGATACTACACGTATGTGTTTGTTTCCATGATTACAGCGCCCATGTGACGATCAGTCCATGAACGAGACTACATTGTGTTAGACTCGGCCAGCTGGGAACGAGGTGGGGACGAGCAGGGACAGAGGTGGAGAACCAGAAGAAGCGGGAAGAGGAGGAAGAGCTTGACAGTGCTCACGGCTGTCAGAGGTTCTATGATAACAAAGTTATGTCAGAAATTGTTCATACTTTATCACCTTCATCACACCTCTTTAATACTAGGTGCTGTTTTCTCGCTGAAGCATCTCATCCCTATCATAACCTTAGCCAGTCATTGTTTGTGTAAACACAACAAACTGGGAATGTCATTTAACGGATTGTTAGTAAATAAAGCTGTATGACAAGTTTTATACTACATCATTGTTAAATTCCAAGTGTATTCAGTCTTACCTGTTTAACTAAACTGATAGATAGAATTACATTTGGTGGGTGCTCATTAAATAATAATACCGGGAGAAGGTGGGACGGAGGAGTCATTTGCCCTGTCTAATAATTCATTCAGAATAATGATATAGCCATCTAAAACTCCTTTCCTTATCTTGTGGGTACCAACTGCGGCTAATGTTAAAGTAAATAACGAACCAATATGGCTGTTTTCTTGGATATCCAGGACTTTGTCTGAGAGCACCATAGCTCGGATTTTAGTTCGGTTAATCTGGTGGAGGGAATGTGTTGAGAGGAAAATCCCTACTCAACTTATAAAACATAAACCCACAGCGTCACGTCACAGACAGGAAGCAAGTAGGGAGACGTGTGAGACAAGTATGAGACAGGAAGCAAGTAGGGAGACGTGTGAGACAAGTATGAGACAGGAAGCAAGTAGGGAGACGTGTGAGACAAGTATGAGACAGGAAGCAAGTAGGGAGACGTGTGAGACAAGTATGAGACAGGAAGCAAGTAGGGAGACGTGTGAGACAAGTATGAGACAGGAAGCAAGTAGGGAGACGTGTGAGACAAGTATGAGACAGGAAGCAAGTAAGGACACGTGTGAGACAAGTATGAGACAGGAAGCAAGTAAGGACACGTGTGAGACAAGTATGAGACAGTTATAAGTATGAGACAAGTATAAGACAGGAAGCAGGTAGGGAGACGTGTGAGACAAATATAAGACAGGAAGCAAGTAGGGAGACGTGTGAGACAAGTATGAGACATGAAGCAAGTAGGGAGACGTTTGAGACAAGTATGAGTCAGGAAGCAAGTAGGGAGACGTGTGAGACAAGTATGAGACAGGAAGCAAGTAGGGAGACGTGTGAGACAAGTGTGAGATAGTTATAAGTATGAGACAAGTATGAGACAGGAAACAAGTAGGGAGACGTGTGAGACAAGTATGAGACAAGAAGCAAGTAGGGAGACGTGTGAGACGAGTATGAGACAGGAAGCAAGTAGGGAGACGTGTGAGACGAGTATGAGACAGGAAACAAGTAGGGAGACGTGTGACACAAGTATGAGACAGGAAGCAAGTAGGGAGACGTGTGAGACGAGTATGAGACAGGAAGCAAGTAGGGAGACGTGTGACACAAGTATGAGACATGAAGCAAGTAGGGAGACGTTTGAGACAAGTATGAGTCAGGAAGCAAGTAGGGAGACGTGTGAGACAAGCATGAGACAGGAAGCAAGTAGGGAGACGTGTGAGACGAGTATGAGACAAGAAGCAAGTAAAGAGACGTGTGAGACAAGTATGAGACGTGAAGCAAGTAGGGAGACGTGTGAGACAAGTATGAGACAGGAAGCAAGTAGGGAGACGTGTGAGACAAGTGTGAGATAGTTATAAGTATGAGACAAGTATGAGACAGGAAACAAGTAGGGAGACGTGTGACACAAGTATGACACAGGAAGCAAGTAGGGAGACGTGTGAGACAAGTATGAGACAGGAAGCAAGTAGGGAGACGCGTGAGACAAGTATGACACAGTTATAGGTATGAGACAAGTATGAGACAAAAAGCATATAAAGAGACGTATGAGACAGGTATGAGAGAAGTGTGAGGCAAGTATGAGACAGATATAAGATAAGTATAAGCAAGTACCCTAACATAAGAGACATATTAGAGACATGTGAGTCTGTTCTAGGACAAGTATGAAAAAGTATGAGACTAAAGACAAGTATGAGCATGGTATGAGACAGTCATAATGGTAGTATTCTTTTGTTGTCACCAACAGTTTACAAGTTACTCAAATCAAGATCTTAAAACGTGGCAGCTGTAGATTTTGGGATTTATAACCTTCGCGTAACACAGCCTTATGTCACAATGTAATAAATCTTATAACTGGTGCCACAAAACTCCATGATACTATTACAGCTCAGGATGAAAGGGATAAAGGGATACTAGACAGTGTCGTGCATCTCCACCCTACTGTAAAATATGAGTAAAGGACCCAGGATTTAGGCTTGGGCTAAACAGCACCTTACCGCCTCGCGATCTACATAGGGTCTTAAAAAGTTCATATTTTTTGTTCACAGATGAGATTTTTGTCTAACAGAGGATTATTTAGTATAATGTCTGTGATTTTGCAGTCACATTCTTTTATTTTGTAATTCTTTGATTAAAAATTATTATACGACAATAATGTCCTTCATCAGTACATTAAAATGGGGTACTTAAAAAACATTTTTTTTTCTAGTAATAGCTGATGTGATTCAAAACAGTAGAAGCTTCGGGGCTCTCTCTATATATATCTTAGGGTCACATCAAGACTTAATTATGTCCTGACCCTTTCCAACGACTTCAGGCGTACTGGGCATATATAGACCTGAATTTTACAGTCAATAGGATCTCGCTGGGTGTTGTGGTCAACTTCACACCAGCCGCCTTTACTTCCAAGGACTTTATCTGGTACGATGGATGGATTTGGAAGCCAGGTCATTTGAAAAAAAAAAAAAAAAAGTCTGCTATTGTCAGTACCTGAAATCATCACCTTCTGATCCGCAGGCGAGTTTGTAGGCGCCCCACCACCACCGCTTCCTTAGAGTAAAAGCGGAAAGCTAAAAGCACTTTCAGGGATATCTACAGGTCAGGGTTTAAGCTTAAAGATAAAACTAGAGAGCTAACTCGATCGAAGCGGAAAGATGAAAGCATTTTCGTGTATATCTACAAGTCAGGATTAAAGCTCAAAAATGAAACTGGAGAGATCAGGGCCGAATCAGAAAGAGGAAAGCACTTTCGGGCATATCTAAAGGTCAGGGTTGCAGCTGAATGATGAGATTACGCCCGAAGCGGACAAGAGAAAGCTCTTTCGGGTGTATCTACAGGTCAGGGCTGAAGCTGAAAAATGAGACTAGAAAGATCAGGGTCGAATTGGAAAGATGAAAGCACTTTCTGGTATATCTACAGGTCAGGATTGAAGCTGAAAGATGAAACTAGAAAGATCAGGGTCGAGTCGGAAAGATGAAAGGACTTTCGTGTATATCTACATGTAAGGGTCAAAGCGAAAAAATGAAAGCACTTTAAGTAAAATCTACAGGTCAGGGTTAAAGCTGAAAGATGAAACTAGAAAGATCAGGGTGCATCTACATTTCAATGTTCAAGCGAAACGACAAAACTAGATAACGCTGTAAAAAAAATATTTTTTTTTAATTCAGCGCTCAAAATTAAGCCATTGGAAATTATAATTTAGGTTGCCCTCATAATTACAGCACAAGGAAAATTGAGACTGAGACAAATCAGAGTTCATTACATTAAAATGTGATAATCACTACACTGACATTGTAAGAAATAGATCTACTTACCGGCAGACAAGGATGACCACAATTATGGAACTGATCACCACAATCAGGGAAACCACAGCAACGACTACAACCACAACAACATCGTTCTCATCAACTGAATGTTGTTCTAGGGAAGAAAATATGTCAGTCACAAAACAAGCAAAGTAATGTGGGATTGCTTGTGTCACAATGTACTCACACAGCTGTCTTCTTTTTCAGTACAAACATCATCACATTCTTCTTCATTCTCTTCTTCTTTCCCTCCTCCTCTCCCTTATGCTCCATGACGTATGCCGTCAGTAGTAATGTGTGTCCACAATCCTGCAAGGCTGTTGCAAATTTACGATGTAATTTTACTAGTCTGCGAGGCTATTGTAAAATTATATTTTAATCTTGTACTTGAACTCATGAAATAATGGAAACCAAAAACATATGTTCGTGTGGAGAAAGAAAGACAAAATCCAGTTATCAACAAGCCAAAATGTGATAACCTGAACAGTGATAGAAACGTATCTCGCCAAATCGTTTATCCTGCTACGGAAGCATGTGTTGCGGACCTAAGGCAGTAAGAGACAGTACCTGTTGGCGGACCTCAAAATATAAGGCGATGACCATTCTTTTATCTCTGGTCGGCAAGTTTATAGATCCAAAGAGTGCTGTTAACTTTCTTGGCATCGGTTTATCAGAGCACGTTATTATGGCGGTGAAATGAGTAGTGCTATGTTACACACGAACACACACACACACACACACACACGTATTCATTCGCAAAGACCCACCCACACTTCCTTATGCTCCTTATCTGCGCCTCACTTTCCCACAATAATTTAATTTCTGCAAACAGCCAGCTTAAATAGACACATTTAGGAATACATAAAAGACCTTCAGTTGCCAGAAGGGTTATAATCTTAGATTATCAACAAAAGCATTGTGTAACGACATAATATATGTATAATGTTTATGATGGATTTCCTCTACAAGGTACACAAGTTAAAATGAGACCAATTCTATAAAAATATAAATAATCAACAGTGAAAAAAAAAAATAACCTGTATTTTATTCAAAGTAAACCCCTCTTGCATTGATACAACGAGCGTCATGATCTAACAAACACTAGAACGATCTCTGTAGATCTTTTGTTGGTATGGTCCTTTAAGTCGATGTTACGGCAGTTTGGATGTCATCAATCTCGTCAAAGAAGTGTCCTTTCAACGATAACTTTAATTTTAGGAATATAAAATAATTACAGGGAGACAAATCTAGGGAATAGGTTGGATGGTTGAGAACATACCTGTTTTTGGGCCGAACATTCCTTTACAACTACCGTCCCATGAGCCGGTGCATTGTAATGAAGAAGGGGGGGGGGGGAACTACCAAATGTTGAATATTAGGCTCGCCAAAGACGTGTACTCTTTTTTTACTGCTCATCGTGTCGTAGAAGGCTTCTAATTATTGATTTCTTTTAAGTCAGAGTGCATCTACCTCAAAGGTAAGGAACCATAAACCTGCATTTTAAAAAAAAAAATCCTAGATTTGAAAAACACAATACGCACGCAAAACTCGAGTTCTGGATCATGATCAAAGTCCTGGAATAGAATAACAATAAAAAATTTCCGCTGAATTGTTTTAAGCCGGTGAACGTAAAGAAGAAGAAGAGGACAGAGGAAGAGGATGAAAACAAGAAGAATAAGAAATACCTACATGTATAATGAAATATTCTCTAACTCAGCTAATTATGTTTGTGGTTAAATGCTCAAGACGTACCTTTAGTACAATTGGGGCCCTGATAACCATCCTGACATCCATAGAGGCATGCTCCATTAGTGTTGTCACAGAAGTCTGTTCTGGTATCATTGTCTCTCACACAGAACTGGCTACAGGACGACTGACACCCTAGACCATAGATGCCTGTGTCACATCCTGGGGTAGAGAAGCATATGTTTAGTGCTAATACATAATTGAACACGCTGCTGTAGGGACTCACACTCTAACCAACGTCTGTGAGCACGTGAATCTATAACTAGCTGACTATTTTCCTAAATATTATTATCACAAGTGAAGCTAACAGTCTCTCCAAGCACTTCATGTTTACGGCTACGTTATTTGTTAGTCCAGGTTCACACATCTGCGCACACGGTCTTCTCACAACCGCTCCATTCCCGTCTCGGCGGAAATCACACAAAATGGCTTTCACTGCCCTATTTTAAAAGTAGCGAAACTTTTGCCTCAGAAAAATCTCCATTGTTGTATTTACAACATAAAAATGCATAATGTTTTGTAACCTTTGTAAAAATGAATATACGTAGCATTAGCCTTTTCTCATTTATAATGTGATGTTGATCACTGTACACGTGAATATGTTTCATTGCAACAGACATCAGCTAGCAGTGTACATATCTACATGGAGAGTGAATTGTTCTCCAACCCACGTTATTATGTGACAACACTAACAGTCACATTAAGGAAGTTAAGCTCGCTGTTGGCGTAAATTGGTTAATTGCGAAAGCCGACTTTGCACCAATAAAAGTGCAGGCATTCTGAACTATAAGACTTTTTCGTCTAATTTATGTAGCTCACTGCCTAGTTAGGTATGCATATGTGCTAATCAGCCCGCAATCGCTTCATAGGCAACGTTGAGATACACAGTTATAAAAACTTTTGTCAGTAGATTTCCGACGATTCTTTTTCAAACTTGCCTGATTTAAAAGACACTAGCCCAGTCCACGGAACACCTCTGTACCTCAGTGTATTAAACGAAAGACTGGATAAATTATAGAAGAGAAGAACTGACGTGATGAGATACACACATACATTAAATAACCTTGTCAGTTAACAAAAATATACATGGCGGCACCAGCGAAAACCGCGAGATGTAGAAATGTTTGACAGGGACTTCTAACGAGTCTTAACAAAAGAACAACCGGGCGAGAAGACAGTCAGGTGGAGACCAAGTGAAAGGATGTTAGTCTGACACACATACGTGTATTATTAAACAATACGGCATGTGTAACTGCACATCTTCAACATGACGTGAGTGACCGCACACTTTACTTTTAAAATGCGATCCAGAAATCGTGACCTCACACTTTAACAATTATCTCGAAAACTCATTTACAGATCAACATAAATTTTTGCAAGTGGCCTTATGTTTTCCATGTCATTATGAGGAGATTCTTTGGAAATCAGTTCCCATGTGCAGCGATGAGTGGTGAATATTTTGATCCCGCATACAAGGAAAAGTCCACAATTCGCAGTTGACAAATGCTGGAGATGACCTCATGAGAGTGGAACGTCTATGAAGCACTTGCAATTTGATGTTTTGATAAGTTCCTGATACTCTGTTAACTGTAAGCATGCTGATTGTTTGATATGAATTGGTGTCTGTTTTTAGAAGAAAAAAAAACTATATTTACTGCAATAACACACCCACACACACACACACCACACACACACACACACACACACACACACACACACACACACACACACAAAGACTAGATAGTTGTTTACATTAAAAACGCTTATTACAAGAACACGATTATTAGCACGTTGCATGCCAAGTTTCAACAACTTATACCCAAAGGTTATTAAGTTATAGACTTTTAAATGTAGGCACAACTTCTGGGACGGACTATTGTTTTTTTAATACCAAAGACTTCTGTATTTATGTTTCTTAACAAGGGACTTCAGACTTACCACCACAAGACGACCAGTTTGTGTGCTAGCTACTGCACTACCGTAACACAAATATGGTTCGACTGAATCAAAATGTTTAGTTAATTTAACTCAGTAAACCTAATGCAGCCTGCACACAAGTCGAGCATAATCTAGACTTGGTTCATGAACAGCCCTGTGTCCAATAATATGAGGTATTTAGGCAATTTTAACGTCATGGTGATTTGAAGAGGACGGTTTCAAGAAAACGACGTATAAGCAAACCACCGGGAAGGTGGATACAAGACATTAAAGCTGCATTTTCTGTTTAAGCACATAGGGCTGGAGCATTCGATAGATAAAGAGAGACTTTCAAACGTGTCATGACAAGAGCGCAATTTTATAAAGAACCTGCTAAATTGCTGAAACACTAGTACATATGATGATAGTGGAGTGACGTACGTGTCCCGCAGTCCTCTCCCTGGAAGCCGGCAGCACAGCCAGAAGGACATCCTCCAGTACTCACGAAGCAAGACTGATTCCCAGCACAGTTACACCTGTGCTCACACTCTCGTCCGTACTGTCCAGGCTGACATGCCGACTCTGTTAGCGAAAAAAGTCAGATTTTTAATGGTACTGATGTTTCAGATGTGATACTACCGCTGTTATTGTAGCTGGCAATACTGTCACCACTGCCACTTTTCACTGTAACATTATATTATTGCAAATATCAAATCTGAACATGATTTGAGGTTTGAGGGACAACGGATCAACATCATGGCACACGGGTAGTAACCCATTAGTGCTCCGCTCTTCTTCTAACTCAAGTCTGAGTCTCAAGAAGCTCAGCACAGTGCACGGGCTCTGTAGCACCGGCGAGGATCCTGAAATACTTTGGGTAGATTTTTAAATCGAAATTTTGCCCAAGCAGCGCTGTTAGGCTACTCTTTTCGATTGCCAAGGGAATTTTTCGTGCGCAGAAATACACACGGGCGTCTGATCTCGTTACCCAGAGACGAAGGGGAATTACCAAAAGTTCAAGTCCACTTGAAAAAATCCCAGCCCTTAGCGGGGATTGAACCCGGAACCTCTAGCACTCTAGGCGGACACCATGCCTCAAGACTACGCAGCTCCCTAAACTTTACCTCAAGGATATTATAAATGTTGCAGGGTCAACTAGGCAGGGCTATTTTTATTAGCCATGTCTATTGTACATCTTGAATCCACAATTATGGAATACAGATAATTCATACCAAACCAATGAAATATTTCCATAGCTTACAGAAATTTTATTCATCATCATCATAATCATCAACCACTTCCGCCGTTAAGCGTGGTGGGGAAGAATAATTTGCTATCCAGCTCACGCTGAGTGCCACTGGCTATTGTCATGCCATAATGGCGTACAGTGTCTTTAATATTGTCGATCCATTTTTCGCGGCGTCCTCTTGCTATTGTAATTGATTTAGTGCTTGTGATGGTATTTGATTTCGCTGCACTCTAACGAGATGGCCAAACCACTTGGTCTGCTGTTTCTCGATGAATCTAATACAAGGTGTCGTTCCCACAATTTGCCTGACAGTCTCATTATTCACTTGATCTCGGATAGTTATGTTGGCTGCTTTTCTGAGGCATCTCATCTCGCACGTGGTGATTTTGTGTACATGGGCTTTAGATAGTGTCCATGTTTGACACTGGTAGCTTAATTTGGGAATGATTAAGCTGTTTACAATCTGTCTCTTTGCACTCATAGTTATGTTTGGATGTCTTAATAATGGGGATAACTGGTATATAAGTGCACTTGATTTCTGACATCTGGTTTTTATTTCTCTGTCCATTCTACTAATTTCAGTGATCATACTTCCTAGACACTAGAATTTCCTAACCTGATACAGACCGGAACCATTCAACTGTATGTGTAGTGGGCCAGGGGTTCTACTAACTTGCATTGTTTCGGTTCTGCTTGCATTAATCTTCACTATTTACTGCATTCTGAGTTTAACCTGACATTTATAGTGAGCAAGGTTATGTCGAATCATAAGTACAACAGCAATCACCAACCCACCATACCGTAATGATCGTTTACAATACAATGAATATGCAAGGAAGACGTCAGTTCCATTGTGTTGCACGTAATACACAGAAATAAACAGACTCGGAACCTCTGGGGCAGTAAAAATGTTATATATAATAAACAAAAGCATGTATTGATCGCAACTCATAGAAAGTACTAGAATGACGGAATGACGCACTAGACATCATAACAGTCGAAAGCTAGTTAGTTAGTTGGGTTATCATCAATGCACTCCAGACATGTCCATAGGTGCTCAGTTCATCCCCTCAATATGAACCCCAGCATCCGTTGGCTAATAGTAACAGAATTGTGTTGATAACCAAGTCATCTGATGTGCCTTGTTTACGTCTGTTTTGTTTTTTGTTTTTTTGGTGCTATGCTGATCCTAACTCCAAAGTCTATCATTCTGGCGGCTGATGTAGATTCACACCCCCCCCCCCAAGTCTTTTAACCTTCCCATTTCTTGCAGAACATTATTAATATCATCAGAATCCATAGTTTTACCGTCAGTCGAAAGCTGTTGTGTCCATTCTGGAAATCTAACATATCATCCCCCACTACTTTTTTCAGTGAGTACCAGTCAATACATGCGTCCCGTGGTATGAATATCCTCTTCAAGTGATCGTTACCTGCTAACACTTACACCTGCGAATTGATCACGTCTCGCCACTTTCGCTAACTGAAAATCATCGGCATAACCGAGGAACAGAAGGTAGCGTTCACAGACATTTTGATTTGAAAGCATTAAATCAACCACAAGTACTAAAGATATAAAATAGTTTCTAGTGTTTGCTAACTTGCAGTGACGTCAAGTATACACTATCTCTAGAAACTTCCGCTGTGGAGAGTTACGCATACATTACCTCCATAGACTTCCAGCTCACAAAGCGTCAGAATTTTATCCTTTGTTTCGGTGGCTACGACATTCACCAGATAGGTGGGTACAGTCACATTGTCGGCTATCACCGTGTAAACTAGCTGGGCGCTGGTTTCTCTGTCCGTGTAGTTAAACACTGGGGTCAACGATTTACTGTAGCTTGTCAGTACAAATCCTTTCAGTCGATATAGTAGATCTGAAAACATATTGAGGTAGTGCAAAGTAGATGTCTAATAGTCTCAAAGTTAAAAAGACAAAACCAAGTTAGAAATGAGGTTATAAGAAAGAAAAAAAAACATCAGTACGGAAGCAATTCACAATTAGCACAAAACAGTAAATCAAATGGTGGTGCTTTATTAATATCCTACCCCAAACAGGGGAAATCCACAGGTCACGGGATATTCTAATGTTTCAGGGGGCGGTTAAATAGGCTGCATGCAGTCGTGGGACCTAGGTTGTATGCAATATGGGACCTAGGCTCCACTCTCTCGTGAGATGTAGGTGAGTTGGGGTTATGGCCAGTTCTAGATGTTTTGAGGTCGTTAAAAGCATCAGAAAGTCGGGAAACCCAATCTTACCACCCTATAAAATGTTGGACTGTCCTGTGACGTCATCAGGGGGTAGGATATTATTAAAGCGCCCAAATGGTTTGCCGTCTATTTGGAAGGAATGCATTGTGACGCTGTGCCAAACAAGACATATCCCAAAGAGGAGCAGAGCGGAAAGAACAAGAATCTCGGACTACTACTGACACATTCATACGAATAGCCTACGCATTCAGTAAACTAAAAGTAAAGTGCTGTATACATGCTAGAGAATCTAGGCTCATATTTTTCCTAGACCAATCGTCATCGATGTGAAATTGGGTCAAAATGAAGCCGGCCGCCTTTAATACCCAAGACTCTGCCTAGTACCCATTGGCTGGGTCAACCTGAAAACGAAGGTATAGTTTGAAGAAAAATCCAGCTGTTTGCTATCTGAACACATGACCTTTGGTTCTACAGGCGAGCATCACCATGACGACACTCTGTGCATTTTATATATATATATATATATATATATATATATATATATATATATATATATATATATATATATATATATATATATATATATATATTACCAAGGACTTCTACACCAGATTCATCCAAAAATCCTTTAATCAGTATCCAGCAGATTTCAAATATCCTCAGATAATATTTGCAGAACCAGTACAGTTTTTCAGACTGACATTGAAATTTGTTCCTTAAGGTTTCTATACCCGAGATATCCTACTTTTTTTTTTAGTAGCGACGATTGTAAGATTGTATTAGATTTTTAGGAGCATGCATCTTTCCCATTGCAACATACGCCTGTGGGACCTGGACACTTACTAAACAAGCTGAACAGCGTATAAATGCCTCGGAATGCAAACATATATTTGTATATATAAGGTCCGACAATTAGGTAATGAGACTGATTTTATTATGGCCAAGACAAAAATGACACATATGAAGCAAAGCATGGAATCTAAGGAGGCAACATTCACCTATGATCTGGCAACTTTTCATCGCCGCCCGATCAGCAGACAACAAACAAGCCGCCATTTTCTCGACCCAGTCAGAGATGTATTGTTAAGTAATCAGCACGGAGCAAAAAGCCAATATTAATTTCTTTAAAAAAAAAAAAAAAAAGCGCCTTTTAAAACAGTTTCATTGATACAGTAAGTATATGGGGATAAATGTTTATCTCGAGCACACATTTTCAGGTGGTATTCACAATTCAAAAGTGATGTGGAAATGATAACTAATGCACCTAGACCTGGACAAAAATTTCTGTTAGTAATGATGAACTTATTGCAAAAGTCAGAGAACGGATACAAGAAGATCATTGTTTTACTGTGAGGATGATGGCAGATGCATCTGGTGTTAATAGAGACCGCTCATAACATTTTAGTGCAAGATTTTGGCAAGAAAAAATTTGCTTGCAGGTCGTTACCACATTCGTTGTCTGATGACCAAAAACATCAGCTGGTTGAGTACCCAAGAGACATCCTCAAAACAAGAATTGTTAGCTCAAAAACAAATGTGCTTTCTCAGCCTTCTATCCTATTCCCCCGATTTGTCTCCCTGTGATTATTTTCTATTCTTAAAATTGAAGTTACGATTAAAAAGACGCTTCTTTTACGATATTGATGACATCCAAAGAGCCGTAACATCGACTTTAAGGGCCAAAAACAACGGAAGAATTTCAGAGGTCGTTCCAGTGTTTGATTGATCGTACCACAAGCTGTATCAATTCACAAGGGGCTTACTTTAAATCAGATACAATTTAAATCTTCAACTGTTAATTATTTTAATTTTTATGGAATTAATATCATTACTTAATTGTCGAACCTTGTATATATATATATATATATATATATATATATATATATATATATATATATATATATATATATATATATATATATATTGTTGTTATCGATCAAGCTGCGCATGAGCTTTCGCCCTTTGGCCTAAATACCATGTAGTGGTATTTGCATGTTTTCACAAGCTGTTCTTTTCTTCCGTACGAGGTGTTCCACTTGTCTGATCTCGATATATATATATATATATTTAGAGAAAGTCACATCTCATAAGAATAAACTCCACAGGGTTGCTTCCAAAATCC